AAAAAGTTAAACACAATTAAAATATATAAATTATGCATACATATATATAGATTGAAAGTACTAACACCACAGGGGCACGTGCCCCTGCGGGCCCCTATGTGGGTCCGCCCCTGATTGCAATAAAGATGAACCTTGCAATAAAGATGAACCTTGCAATCAAGGTCCACATCACGTAAGTTGTAACATAAACGACTAGAAAAAAAATAAAAAAATAACTAGTTTGTTTTGGTTGAATCATTGTAAGAATCCATTTGACATTCCGTTAAAACTTGATAATATTTGTGTCATGGCTCAAGCGTGCTTGGATATAAATATATCCCCTCAAAACGAGTTCTTTTGAGTCGCAAAGATTAATTAGAAAAATGTGCATGATGGTTAATTGTTAAAGAGATTTTGAGTTTATATTGAAAAAATATTTAAAATGAATTAATTAAAGGTGATTTGATTTAAAAGTATGAATGGATGAATAGTGAATTAAAATTTATGTGACGTATAAGAATGATTGATTGAGATTATATAAATACATTCATAATATTGAGGATATTGGTGGTGTGTTAAAGTTTAATTAAATTTGTGTACAAATTGGTTTATTTGTCTCCAAAGTCCAAACTCACCTTCAATGTCTTTGACCTAAGTCCAATTTCCGATAACCATTTTATCATTGTTATCTTGGTTGTACTTAGGGTGAGTTCCTCTCTCCCCAATTTCCTTTGTCCCCCTGGTGCTGGGGTGGGCTTCTTCCGGTGATGGGTGGTGCGACTCTGGTGGCACGTTGGCTCGTGTTGCGGATGGCCGACGAGAGGGTTCGAGTTTGGAGCCGTCGATGCTTGACTCCCCATTGTATTCCCTTCGCTGTTGGGGTTGGGCGAAGAGCTCCGCCGGTGATGTAGGTCGGTGGCTCCTAAGGGGTGTAAGACTCTTGGTTGGTGGTAGCGGTGGGGGTTGTGTTTTGGGGCTGATCTAGGCGGCTGGCTCGAGGGCAGTCCACCTGTTTGAGACGCGAGTTTGAGGGGTTGATTCTTGTTAGGCTTTATTTTCAGGGCCGACGCTCTAGACGGTTTCAATGTTGTGTGTGGCAACTTGTAGTGTTGCTTGTCGGATGTAGATGAGGGCTTCAGTCTAGTTGTTTTTTTAGGTTTGTATGGTGATTGTGTTTGTGTTGGTCTGTGTGTATTTGTGGTCGTCTATGTTATGTGAGTTGTTGTATTGGGTTTCTCCTTTTTAAGAGTGTATTTTACTCCGTTTTGGTAGCGTGTATTTCTCATTTGTTGTAGCTTTATTTTCTCTACTTGTGAGAGTTTTTTAATTTTTATTTTTTATTTTTATTTTTTATTTTTTGTTTGGTTTATGTATAGTTTGTTGTGGTAACTAGTCTACCTTGTGTAGTTCTCCTATTTAGTGAATGAAATTGTGGTGGAAAATAATAATAATAATAATAATAATAATAATAATAATAATAATAACAAATTACCACCCCATAGTACACACGTGCCCGTCACGCACCAAATAAAGCTTATTCCCATGAGTAAAACTCTTCCCCATTTGCCTCCGGCTCCGACCGCCGCAAGGACCCCTCCAATAGCTTGGCCGCAGCTTCTACATTGCCCGAAACCCTCCTCCTACCTAAACCCCAACAGAACCCCCCTTATACCCTCCCGCTGCTCCGAACCCGCCGCCGCCGGCCTTTTCTCCCCGCCCCACCAGCGGCGGTGCAGGCCCAGCTCCCCCTCCTGCGCCGCCGCCTTCTTCCCGCAGAAGCATCGCATCGATCGAGCTTCCCCTTTTCCCCCTTCCCTCCGTCCTCTTCCCCGGCGCCGCCCTCCCCATCTACATCTTTGATATCCAGTACAGGATGATGGTGCACACCCTCCTCCACACCGACCTCTGCTTCGGAGCGATCTACGCCGACACTTTCGCCTCCGGCATCGCGGACGTCGGCTGCGTCGGCGAGGTCGTCAGGCACGAGCGCTTCGCCGACGACCGATTCTTCCTCGTCTGCAAGGGCCAGGAGCGGTTCCGGGTCACCCGCCTCGTCCGCACGAAGCCCTACCCCGTCGCCGAGGTGGCGTGGCTCGAGGAACGTCCCTCCGCCGGCGGCGGACACGATGTGAACTGTAACAAAATATTGAGTTTAATTAAATGTGAGTCTCATCATTGTAATTTATTAAAGCAAATTGGTAATTTTACAGCTCAATTCGTGTGAAGAAGGAATCTCTGCCATTAGCACATGACAACTTGTGTTAATAATGTTTGGTGTAATAATTGAGTTTGTAGCATTAACTAAAAGGCATTATCTGTTCGCTTCCTCTATAAATATTGTTTCTTTTGCTGATAATTATACATAGAAGAAGAGAAAAAAGAGAGGAAAGGAAAAAAAATATATGTCCAAATATCGGATATAAAAATATCAAAAGTGAAGAAACAAGTGATATTTTTATTTGTTTTATGATATTCCTTTTATTTTTAAGTGTTCAATTCTAGACTCCGTTCCAGTTCGTCGGAACTCGTAAATCTGGTGTGCTACAGATTTAGAGACGTTTGTCGTTGTATCTTTGGGGAAGTTACGCTTGAACCTAGCTGCCACACGGGGCGTATTCTTCTTGCGGAAAAAGTTTTACTCGTCTCGGCTAAAATCTTTCCATTTTTAGTTGGAATTTATTTTTTTACTTCAATTGTAATTTTCTATTTTTAAATTATTTGTAAGAACTGAAAAATACATATCAGTTCGTAGGATTTCCATGTAATTTCACATCAAGTATCCAACATGAACAAGCTTGCCGCCGAGGTCGAAACCCACATGAAGGGTGATCCGGCTGTCCAATCGGTTGGATGGGAAGCCAGAGAAGCATATCCAGGACCTAAGGAGGAATCTTTTCCCGACCCCATTTTCATTTTTCGTAGGGAGCACATTCGAGGGGGCCCCACGGGAACAGCAGGCGCTGCTGGAGCTCGAGGACACGACCGAGAGGCTGACGAGGGAGAAGCAGACGCTGAGGAAAACGCTTAATTACCTGACATCAACATCTGCTGTTAAGGATGTTTTCCGATCTTCGTAGCGAATTTCTCCGGAAATACGAGGGTGAAGGGTAATTATTATTATTATTTTCCGATTTGGCGACTTGCGTAGCTTGTTTTATGCATTGATATAATGATATATGTAAAGAATTTTGATGTGTCTAATTGATGCTAGTGGTACATTACTTGAAAATGTAAGCTACATTATACATAAACCCATGATACATCTTCTGACCTAATATCCATACCAGGTTTCTCTATTTTGCACTAAATGAAGTGTAAACAAAAAAAAAACGTATTCAAAGTACAAGCTGATATCCTGTTCTCAGTATCCATGAACAGAAAAAATTCCCATGATATGAAGCTCATACGAACGAGTTCCAGTCCTGGCAAAATGATGATCTGTAATACTAATAGAACTAGAAATAACCGGAGTATGTTTTTTATGGTCCGAAAGAGAAACTGCTGCTTCCTAACTCGTAAAAGAGCCCTTTTTCGATATTGGCTTCGGTAATGTAGTATTTCCAGTCCGCTGCAAAAAACAACACTACCAAAATTGATCAAGAAAACAACATAGACAATGCAACAAAGATCGTCTTATGTTTTAATCAATACGAGAATAAAGCATGAGAGTAAAGCTCTACCTAAAAGTCGACTACCTAAAAACGAGAATGAACGAGGAAAAATCAATACCTTGAGGCATAAGTTTCGTGCGGTATCACAAACCGGATAATCGCTTGGGCAACAATGACTATGGTCCTTGCAACACACGGCCGAATCTACCCCACAACATTTCCAATTAAAACATAGCCCGAGAAAACTCCAGGCACAACAGCAAGTCTCCCCACTCGAGCAATAAGTGAAGAGATTGCACTTTGTTGGGCCTGGGCCCGGCGAGGGTGGTGGGTTCGGTCTTTTCTTGATCGGGTACGAGGCCAGCATGTTGATCCCACACACTCCTTCCGCACTCCCGGTGTTCCTCTGCATGAGCATGTACCCACTCATTCCCCAGTATTTTCCCCATGAGTTCTTTATTATCCAATAGTCCTTCCCGTCTTTAGTGTCGTAACCGACTATTAGGACTGCATGATCAAGAGAAGTCGAGCACGGGCCCGAAAATATTCCCTGAATTTATTTTAACAAAATTTATTTGTTATTAAAATGAATTTGGATATGAATATTCTCGAAATGTACAAAACATAGCATGTTTGTTTACCCAAAAAAAAATAATATTCATTCACATTCAATTCATACTCAAAATTTAACTCAACTTTAATGCAACTCCACTATCCTCAATATTATCGATATAATTACATAATACAATGATATAATTACATAATACAAACAACCATTCTTACACATCACATCAACTTTAATTCAGTATTCATCAACTCATATAATTTTAACTATCACTTTACATCATTTATCTCATGCTTTTACAACAAATCAACTTTAACAATTTTAATATTAATATTATTTTCATATTAAATCAAAATCTCACTAACAACTAACTGACCATTCAGCTTTTTCAAAATTAACCTGGTTAATTGAAAAATCTCATTTTTGAGCAGGTTTATTTCTAAAAAATCACGTCCTAAGATTTTGAATGGTTTTAGCAGAAATGCGTGAAAAAATTGGTTAGGCTGACCTTTGAGTAAAGCTGGAATGACGAGTCACTGCCACATATGCCGACACTTATAGGCTGAGTGGCCACAGCTTGTAATAGCTTTTTCTCGTTTTTAGGTGGTATGTCGGCATAACTATCGATGGTCACAACGTGTCTTTTGAGCTTTACAATGTAGATACAGAAAACCGAAAGGATTGTCAGTATAGCGAAAAGGGAATAGACTAACAGACTACACGAGAAGCAAGAAGAACTAGAAAACTCGAAAAAATTGGTGTGTGTTTAGAACATTTACTTTATTTTTGTCGCATGTCCCCTCTCGCCCTCGGTACGGATAATCTTCTTCAGTATCGATCCCTTTATTTTTTATGATGAACTCGTAAGCGTAGTCCATGAGCCCTCCCCCACAACCTGCATTATATGACTTGTCACAGTTTATCAGCTCTTGTTCGGACAAACTTACAAGAGATCCTGACTTAATCTGATTAATGCCCTCAACTGCACCCGTGGCTGAGAACGACCAGCACGCACCTACACGATGAAGACACAGAGACTTTTACTAACTTAGTCATGTTAATTAGACATGTTATAGCGCAGTTTACTAGTTCAAAAAGACACATACAAGATCCCAACTGATGTTTTCTACAAGATATACAAAAAATGAGGTTCCTAAGCTAATCATTTTCAAGAAAAGCAGTTAGAAAAGAATACACTTCAAAAGCAGTTAGATCTCACACGAGACACAGACACACATTTTCGCCTTTTATGCCGACTTATAGGCAAACAACTAAGTTGGAAAAGAAGAACTTTTATCCCCCCCTTTTTCCAAATATAACACAATCAAATATGTTGTGCTAAACGAAAACAAAAATCTTCAACACAAAATTTGAATATGTACCAATCTAGCAAGTGAATAATAACAATTTCAAGAACAAGGCCGCTTAACAACACCCTTAAACATACTAAAAAGAACAAAATAAACAAAGTTTTCGACATTCCATAGCATAATTATGCATTTTTTGTTTAAAAAAAAAACGAAAAAAAGCATGACGGGCCGGTCCCCCTAATGGTTTGGCGGCCTTACACCAGAATTTGTGTTTCAACAAACAATGAATCAAAACACAGATCTTTATACATGCATCACAGTGAACTCCTTGTTAATCGATTGGTGTCATTTAACCTCAGCTACATAACTAATAAGTACATAAAGAAAAAAATTGATATAACTGAAAAAATGTGGGAAAAAAATGCATACCACAACTCCCCTGATCTTTCACTCCAGTAACAGCCCCTTTCTCCCTCCAATCCAAGGAAGATGGAACATCAGATTCCCTCACAAGATCGGGCCCTTCAACCGAGCCCGGCCCGCCTTTAAGCCTGATCAACAAATCCCTCCCGGAAGGCGGCGACAGCCCCAAGTACCTGACCTTAAACTCATGGTTAGTGAGATCAGCAAAGGCATTCATAGAAAGGGTGTAAGAAGAATTGGCCCTCGTATTGTGGTGGGCCACAAATTCATAGTTTTTCTCGAACACTTCGAGCCGGCGCTGTCTTTCTTGGTCGGAGCTGTATGTTTTCCCGTACTCTTTGCACCAGACATCGAAAAGGTCAGAAATTGACGAGGATTGGCAAGTGGGCACATCGAAAAACAGAAGACTGAAGTGCAGAAAGTGTAATAACCAAAACATTCTAGTAGGAGGGTTCAAAAATTTCTTCTTTTTTTTTTCTTGGTCGTTTTTTTACCCCCTTTTTTGGGGGGTTTTGTTTATGTGGATTGGGTTGAATTCTCCTGAAACTGTGGTGAGCTAAAAGGGATTATAGCAGTGACTGTGACATGGGAGTTGTCGATTGGAGGTTTGGTTGAAAGAGTGTGTTTAGAAAGTGTGGATTTGCTGTAATAATATCGACCAATCAAAGATGAAACTCGGAGATTCAAGAAGAGTGTTCGAATTTGGTGAGGGGCGCCTACGGTGACAGCGGTGCCCCTCTCCCACTCCCACCCTTCATCATGTTAAATAACATGATTCAAGGGTAGAAGAGGGGCACCGTAGGTGCTGTTTAAAAATGCACCGTAAGTGCCCCTTACTCGTTCGAATTGGCCAACTGTATTTGGAAAGTCGGATGAAAAGGCCGACAATTCAATTATAAATTTGGAAATAGTACGGTCTCGTTATGTAATCATTTCGTCGAGGTTTGTAACCGTTAGATTATCATGTACCCGTCGGGATAATTGATTCAACGGTTTCAAACTCCGACAAAATGATTCCGCAACGAAACAGTAACATTTTCCAATAAATTAATTTATGAAAAATTTACTTTTGATCTGTAAGAAATATTAATTAATATTTATGAATTAAAAATATTCATTAAATAATATTTATAAACTAAAAATATGTTCATACAATTTATCTATATTAATTTATTAAGATGGTATATGATATTCTAAATTGTATGAAATTATATATGATATGTCTATTTAAAATTAGCATATAATCCAAATAGTGGACTTAATTGATAATAAAAATTAAATTATATTCATTTCAAAATAAGTGTCATTTTAAAATTTTTAAAAGTTCTTAAAAGTTTAAGTGAATATTGAACACAACCCCTTATAACTACTGACTACAAACATTACATCATAAAATATTCTACACTAGTTTGCGACTTCGTAGAATTTGATTATATAATCATACAACTTATGTTATGCTTGATCACATTATGTTATTATGCTTGATCGCGTGAAAGAATATGAGTAACTTATTGTTGATTGCGTGAGCGAAAATTGATTGAGAGTTCGATTTGGTTGATTCGCGAGTGACGAGTGCTTGATTCATGTGAAAGACAGCGAGTAACCTATGAGTGTCTTCTTTCCATCTCGAGTCTTAGGATACCTTGTTCCAAACTGGTGCAGCTGACTCAAACATAGTACACAATGCCCATACAAGTCTACGACGGACAATGATTACACGTTAAAGACAACGAGTAACCTATGAGTGTCTTCTTTCCATCTCGAGTCTTAGGGTACCTTGTTCCAGACTGTGCAGCTAACTCAAACATAGTGCACAATGCCCATATAAGTCTACGGCGGACAAGGAGCAGGACGACATTTACAATTGCATGCTACTCTATAGTTAAAACTACAAAAAATAAATATGGCACATGAATTTTTAAAGAACATAGAAGATAGTGTCTTGCCGCAAGTAGGCAATTCGAAACCAATAATTGTTGCCATCAAGTTTATCTAGATGGTAAACAACAAGCTAAGAAAATTATAATACAGATTCAAAATTTTACTAATCCTCATTCCATATCTCAAACAAGTAAGACATAGACACAACGTACAAAACAGCAAATGTGGAGGGCGGGAAGTGTTCTATTTTACAAAATCCTGCATAATCTCGAATGTTATCAGTTCCGGTACGTAGACCGATTCATATATTATATACATATAGAAAAAGTTACAAAGATCTAATTCGTGCACAGAAGTCGTAAGTCACCAAAGGAAACAGCTATCCAAGATCATGTTGCAAATAATGAGAAATATTGGTATTATGTGCCTCTTTCACATCTCGATAATATCATGTTACAAATAATGAGAAATATTGGTATATGTGCCTCTTTCACAACGATATGCTTCTACCCTGAGTTTTCAAGGACAGTATATCCAGTATTAAGCCATGTCTTAAAGAACAAATGTGAAACACTTAGTATCCTTACATAGACAGCAATATTTCTCATCATTAGTAGAACAGATACAGACAATGACAGATACATTATTCTGCACCTGCATCCTCAGCAGATTTCTTATACTCTGGCTTCAGCTCATATGTACCTTGATTTGCACCCCTTTTATTGTATACACACAGCTCATTCAATATCTCCTTCATAAATTGCTGCAAAGAAGGTCGAACAAGATTAAGCATGTTGACCCTATGAAACTAAAATGCGCAACAACGTTGTCAATTAGCACCTGTTACATATAAAATGAGCTTTTCTAACTAAAATCAACCTCAAGATAATTTTTTTCTGGTATAGGTGAGACGGCATGACATCCAACAAACAACAACAGGCACAAAACCACAGACAACTAAATATAGTTATCCACAAAACAAAAGATAAGCAAGGACATACAGCAGGTTGATCTGTCTCTTGAACCAACTGCTTCAGTGTCCAATTAGGCTGCCTTTCGAAAAGCTTAAACATAATTTCTTCAAGCTCCCCACGATCCCTTCTTGTTCTTTTCATATCCGAACTCTTTACCGGAGCTGCTTTTTTCTTTTCCTGCCAAGTTAAAACAATTAAAAAAAATTACGATTCATAAAATAATACTCATACTCTGCAGGCAAACTCTCAAATAAGCAGACTTCTCAGAACAATTTTGTTTATGAACTCCTTGAACCTAACTTAATCGTATTTTATTTATTCACAACAACTCCACATAATTCAATAAAAATAAAAGTAAAAAAGTAAAGTTATTACCTTAGAAGTCGATGTAACTAGCCCCATCATCCCAGGCATAGGCCTCATGTGCACACCACGATCATTATCAAGCACCTGATAAAATATCGATGCCAAGCAGAAATACAATTTTGGTATGGCTGTGGTCCACGAGAAGAATAAAGAAGCAAAAAATAAATAAAGAAGAAAATTCATATTAAAATAGAGGTCATATATGACCTGAATTTGTCTATTCTTGACCATGGATTTATTTGTCCTTTCTCGACACAGTTTTCTGTACTCTTCAAGATTTGCATGGTGAGGCTTCATGTCAAATTTGTGCTCCACTTTCCCTTCCATTGCCACTCTTCCTTCAAGGAAAAACAAATTGATAAAAACAATTAGCAAAAG